ACTAATAAAACAAGGTGTACACCAGTTGTTGAAAAAAAAAAAAATTTCTTGAATGGTGCCAAGGAGCTTAGGGGTGGCCTTTATAGGTCCTGCATTTAACTCTTTCTAGCAAAGAGAGATATATGTCATACTTCTCATATTGTAAATCTTGTAACTTGCAAGTCTAAAATTATAATAATAAACGATAGTACAATAGCTATTTGCTCCTTCAAAAAAAAAAAAAAAAATTATTAACTTTAGATAAATATTATTATATATTATTAATATTTATCAATATTTATTATTTTTAGTTATATTTTTTATATAATATTTTTTTTTTCTAAAAATTCTCAAAATATTTATATAATTTTAAATGATATAGCAAATTTGAAGCACTGTAACTTAAAAACTCAATTCTGAAGCTTCTTTGAGATTCCAAGTAACTATTTGCAAAAGGACTAAAAAAACAATTTTTGTTATTAGAAGGATAATATTTTAAGTAATTTTGCTTTTTCTCTTATTAATAAGAATTTTCTTTGATAATTATTTTAAATATAACAAATAATTCTTTAGTTAATTTTTTTATGTAAATAGATAAACTATACATAAATAATTAAATTAAAAGTAACTTACAATTGATCAAAACATTATAAAAAGATTGTATTTTTTCTTAGCTTTAAAGGAATAAAAGAAAAAAAAAAAAGAACAATTATTATAATTATAAATTTTTGAATTTTTGAATTTTCTTTTATTTTTATATATATTTTTTATTGTTTTTTTATTAAAATTCAATTTTTATATATTGTTATCTTTTGATTTCAATATCAAGGCAAAGTTATAAAATTGACTGAAACAATAATTTTGAATTGTTTATATTAATCTGTTTAATAGTATTTGAAACAAAACACTTATTGAATAAATTAAATCATTGAAGATTGAAAATTATTTTTATCAGTAATTTTAAAGTTTATTAAAAAAAAACTGAAAGTTTTAATATATTTAATTATAAAATTTATTTTTTTTTATTTTTTTTTGATATTTCTTTAAATATTTTTTTTATTTTTTTTTATTTGATTTCTATTTTCTTTTATTTTATAGAAATACTTTGTTTACTGTCAATTTAAATTGGTACAATTCTTATTTTACTCTTTCAAGATAGTAATACTAGAAAAGTATTTTTACTATAGATTTTTTAAATGGTTTTTTTGTATTTAATTGCAAAAATGAATAAGAAAAGTGTTTTTAAAAAAAAAAATCAGTAATAATTATTGTTTACTTTGTTAATTAAAAAACCAGAGTTGTTAAAGAAAGTATATAAATATTAATATTATAAAAATGATAAATCTTTTAAAAATATCTATTTTTTAAATTAATAAAAGAATTGGTGAAAAAAGTTTTTTTAGCTTATATAATTATAAACAGAATAAAAATATAAAATCAATATATACTTTTTAATAAATATTTAAAAAAAATATATTTAAATATAACTTTTAAATTATTAAGTTTTTTTTAAAACAAATAAATTTTTTAACAGATATTTTAAAAAGTTTTAATTAAGATTAACTATTAAATTTAAGAATTATAATATTAGCAGAATATTATATATACAGTATATATATAATATTTATTAAATGGTTTTTTATATTTATATTTATATCAGTAATTTTTTTCAAAATAATTTTATATTATTTTTATATTATTGTTATACAGTATATGTAATTATTTGTTGTTGTTATATATTATTTATATTATAATAATAATAATTAATTATATACAGTATGTAATTTTAATAAATTATAATTGATAAAAATTTTTTTTTCAATTTTTAAAGTAATAAATTGATTTTGATTTTTTTATATTTATATTTATTTATGGATAAATAAAAAAACAAACAAACAATTTTTTTGATATAATTTTTATTATTAAAATATGTAGTTTTATGAATTTAATTAAAAGTTTTATTTTTATATTTAGTAAAACTTGAAAATAATAATTTTATTAAATTAATATTAACAAAAATAATTTTTTACCTTGAAAAAAAAAATTATTTTTTTATCTAATATTAATATTTATTAATTATATTTAAAGTAAAAATATTATTTTTAAAAAAAGTTTTTGTTTTTAATAATAATAAAAAAAAAGAAAAACTTTTTTTAAAAAAAAATTAATTTAACAAGCTTTAAAATATTTGTTTTTATCAGAATTTTTTTTTTAAAAAAAAAGGGTTTTCAAAAAAGTAAAGAAATTGAAAACAAAATATTATTGTTATTTCTTATTATTTATTTTCAATATATTATAAATAAAAATAATTATTTGTCAAGTTGATTTGATTTTTATAATTCTTAATTATAGAATTTACTATATAATACCTTTGTTATCATATTATATTCTGGATTCAATTTTCACTTTTCTATCAAATTATATGATTTCTTCTGGTAATTTACAATGTATACAAATATATATGAGTTTATTATGATTTTAAATGAAAGAAAACATTTTGCATTATGTGATTGATTGAAATTTAAAAACAGGGTTTTTTTAAAAAAAAAAATAAATTCATCTTTCCAATCATATTTTATTTGTTTAAAAAATAAATGAAATATACAGTACATGTTCTTAATAAATAAATACGGTAAAATAACTTATTTATTTATTTATATTATCATTATTATTTGACTAGATCAATCGCTCAAGTTTTTTTTTTTTTTTTTTTTTCGTTGAATCATACTCTTCGTGATATCTTTTATGTGATGCCTTAAAATCTTTTAAGTGAACTCTCATAATGAATTATTATTAAAAACTTAAAATACAGTAGTTCATCAAAGACCATAGTAAAATTGCATATGATATCTTATTCCTTCAGTAATCTTTGTTTTCTTTTTTTCAATGGATTTAGTAATTGATTTGATACTGATTTATAATCGGTAGTACCCAGTTCTTTAAGGTTGTTTTCCGAAAAGGTTAGCTCTTAGATATGTGTGAAATTGATAGATCTCGAAAGGTCGCAGTTGTCATAAAAGCAAATGATTATCTTTTATTGATACGAAACAAATTTCTTAATTCATAGGTCTGCGACTTTTCAACGTCTGACGAAAATGATCCTGGCGATCATTCCGACGCATACACTGCCCATCACTTATAAAAAAATAAAAAAATATTGCGAGCATGCAAAGTCTTTCGAATAGAAGATTCGCAAACTCACATCCTCGGTCAATAAAGATCATATGATGAATATTTTTGGGAATTTAAAATTACGCATAACATAAAAGTTTTGAGCATGCACGTGCCGTTCACCCGTGAAAAACAAATTACAGGTGATGTAATTGCTTTATTGTTGTTTCGTTATTTCCTTGATAGGGTGGTTGATGATTAAGTGTATACACTCTGTTTCCATATTCGTGTGATTAGACGGATAGCGATATCGAATATTATTTACGATAAGACGCAATTAATTGCCCTTCCATATCAAGATTTCAAAAGGGCGGAAAACTCATATGTAGTTACTTATGCAGAAACCTTAACGCACTTTTGGGTTTCATTGCGTGTCATACTGTATATGTTTACGATAAACGGGCCGATAACAAGAACTTGCGTGCGTACAAAGAAGAGGACAGCGAGAGATATTAACATAGAGTCTCATTCATTCTTATTAATTTCAAAAAAGGAAATAATAGCCTTCTCATAAAGCAAGGAAATTAGGAGCATACACTGCATTGCATGGTTGAATTTTAATTGCCCAACTAATCAATTAAAGGAAACGACTGAGAGAAGCCATATGACCTGCACATAATGATTTGCCTTTTTGTTCGTGTATATAGGCAAAGTCTCGAGTCTAACCTTTCCATTAAGATAATGATGATTCACTTATACTTATATACCTTTGAAGGACGCTTGAATTCTCGGGGTGAAGTCACAAACACATTCCATTTACCAATTTCATTCATTTCCTGGACTGATGCAGGTGAGTTACAGCGTCTCTATTAATTTCTTTTCTTTCTTGATCGACACCCTGAATAACCATTGATCTCTGAACAATGCATCTATTGGCGCAATATACAGTATGCGTATGTCGTTTCTTTTGTACGCAATGATAGATTGCTGGGATCGTATCCAATTCATGCAACGAATGGATGAACGAATGGATGAACGAATGAACAAATGTCTATGACTACTTTTTGGACCTATCACATCACGTGCCAAAAAAACTTAACACTTGTTAAATGCGCATGTAAAGAGTTTCGTGTTCGAGAGGAAACAACCGGTGAGGCTTGTAGAACATTTCTGGTACGCCCTTGTGAAACCAACAAACAATCGCGTGGAACATCTTACATACGCTGCGTATACACGTATCATCGGATTTTTGCGAGACAAAGAGAATTGTTGCCAAGGAAAAAAAAATAATAATATCTTTTTTCGGTAAATTCGTATTACGGTTCTGTTAATTGCCGCATTTTCTCACGATCATCATGTAAAACGCCCTCTTCTCACATTTATTCACCCTTTTGGCAATTTCATACTACGAAAAAAAAAAAAAAAGTTGGGGAAAGAAAAAAAAAAACAACCAGGTTTTACCATTGTATAACTCGAAATTAAATTCGCCAGATTAAAACCTGATGACAATAATCTTGACAATTCATTCTCGACCCAAATTTGGATATGATACAAACGATCTTTATTTAGTACGAAGCTAAGCTCACCTTGGGTCACGTGGACAAGGGTGATGAAAAAAAAAAATTATTTTCAACATGGTCGAATTTTTTTTTTTTTGTACGTGTCAAATTTCCAAGTAATAATAATTTAATGAATGCACTTAAAAAAGAAATATACATCAGTGCCTTGAAAATTTATTTTGAATTAAATAAATTATTGATAAATAAGTACTACATATATATACTGTAACTCTATGTATAGAAATTAAGATGAATTTATGATAACGGATGAAATATTTTTTACGTTCACTTGACATGAATAATGGTAATTGATTCAGAAACGCGTGAACGGACTAGTGCTCGGCTTCTAATTTACCAACTATTTATTTCCCGCAAGGGAACCGCTCGGATATTATAATCTTTACATAATTTCTGTAATTCTTTCCATTCCTTTTTGGCGAACGAATCTTTCGCTCCCCCATCACCTATTCCCAACACTTCCAATCTATCGCTCCTCTTTGCGTACTCTCGGATAACCCGGAAGTGTGAATGATCGAAGTACATATAGTCCATTATAAGGGTTGTCAAATCACGCCTTGAAAGCAGGTTATCCAACTGAATGGTGGTGAATCCACATCTTAGTATTAGGCAATCCAATGATTCCGGTAGATCACCGGACGTTAATATCATGTTTTCGTAATCCGCATTCTTGGAACTGATGAATATTTCAAGTTTTCGCAAATATTTAAGTCCCCGTAATAGCTCCCCGATTTTCGTAGGTTGCTGCAAGAAGTAATTTACCAATTTTAGCTGTTTCAGCTTGGGACAATTCTCCAATATGGTGGTGATTGTCTCCGGTGTAATCAGATCCAGGGTCAATTCCTCCAGAGATTCTCCCGCAATCGGAAATATTAACAGTTGAGACACGAGGGCAGCAGGTGAACACCCGATGTTGAGGGACTTGAGCGTGAAATGAGGATGCTTTAAACTAAAGATGCTCTCGTTGGTCAATCCTTGACAGTATTGAATCGTGAGGGATTTTAATTCTCGACACCTGGCCAACGGTTCAAAATCGGTTCCGGTGAAATCACAATTCATGAACTTGAGGGAACGCAACGAACCCGCTTGCGACACCAACGCCGGCACAATTATTTCGGTCCCGAATCTCAATCCCGACAGGTTGAATTCGGTCAGTTGCGTTTGGGCATTGATGATGTTGGTAATTGAATTGACCACATCCAATTTGTCCGTTAGGTATGGGAATTTCAGATCCAACACCTGCAGTTTATGACAATATTTAGAGACGTACTTTAATAATTTCAGGGTGTTTCGTGTCATTCGGTTTGTGTATTCGAGCTCAAATCTCCGTATATTTGACAGGGTGTACTCGGCAGTTGAAAACAATGAACTCCGAGGCAAGTCCACCATACCAAAGAATTTGGTGATCTCGATCGAGGTCATCCTTCGACTTTGACGCATGAACAATTGACACATCACACCGGTGATCAGGATTGTTTGTTGATGCGTACTACGACCAGCCACAACCTCTTTGCTTAGGTAGTTTCGAATTCCGGAATCGACAGCCATATATAACTTGTTGTATGAAAACCTTTCCAGGTATGTCGCATACTCGAACAGGGATTGTGACGAATAGGGGATTTTCACCTTGAATTTCTTCAGCGCAAAGTTTAGGCCCGATCTATCCTCTTCTTCCAGACAGGAGATGTAGGTGCGAATCAACTTGAACCGATTTTCTACGGACACGTTGTCAAACGGTCGGGCCCAAAGCAACGGTATCACGCTCGAGCACCAATATTTGTTAACCAGAAGGCAAGAAATGACATCGCGTCTTCTTTCGACGTATTTGATTATGCGTTTCATACATTCCGCCGGTAGCCGGGTAGCTGACTTCTCTTTCATCATGGTTTTCGGTTCGGCTTGATACTGTGACATGGATATCAATGAATCGTGACGTCCTCTACGTCCTACGTTAAAAAATATTTCTTTCATGGCACTTCTCCTCGCGGTGGATGGAGAATTTTGAACTCCATGGTCGTTGAATATCTCTTTAATCTCGACCGACATTTTTTTATTATTATGAATACTGGTAGTGGAAGATTTTTTTGTTGTTGATAGAGGTCGTTCGGAAGTTTCAGGTGAGAGCCTTTTATAGTTCAACAGTTTGATTATAAACTTTGTGCATGAACAGCAGTGCTCTGTCATCTGTTGTGTTTAAGTGGAGTACAAAAATTGATTGTTTGATTTTTTCTGTTTTATCCGCCTGTCGTCCAACCCATCCTCATTTGATTAATGTATTTATAATGAACCAAGGTGACACGACCAACGGAGTAGCTTTTTTTTAAATACTCGTTTTTATCACCACAGTTAACTGTCAAATTTGGAAATTCTTACTGAAGCACTTTCCTCTCCAGTATATTTGCGTCAGTACATGTTAAAGTCAGGCGCGTGATGAGGGTCAATTAACAAGACCATACAAGTAGTACTTTAAAGTCTTCGATTGCCGTGTAACGGTTGCACAGATAATTTTCAATGCTGTGCTAACGGGGTGGACCTCTGAAAATTATTTTATGTGAGTATTTTATAAAAATAAAGTTTCATTACGTAAACTGCATAAATCATCAGTAAAAAGAAAATTAATTATTATTAACACACACATATATATACAGTATATTATTATTATTCTAGGTAGTGGTTTTCTTTGTATCTACTTTTTCTTTACCAAGAATGACTTAATGCACTCGCCATTAAATTTCTTTTTTTTTTTTTTTTGGTCTTTTATACGTCTTTCTAACTACTGACAACGGAAGAATTTTTACCTATCTATCTATGATTCACATTGGGACAAATACTTGCCGATTTTTTAATTTACCATGTTAATATTATCTGATGATTTGTGTTGCCCAGATATCATAAGAACAACGAAGGGGAACATTTGTTTGGCATCAAGTGTCCTGTGATCTTGCACGCTTTGCTTAATTTGGGACCAACGAGCTTGGAAAAAAAAATTTTTTTCAATCAACCAATAAAATAGGAAAATTAAAAAAAAGGTCCGTCCACAACATTGCGTGCTTACGTATTTCCTCTTGTCCCGCATCATCCGAATCATGACGTCTGATGTGCAATAACATGATTTTAATGTAACGTTTGTCCGTCCGTCCATCCCGCTCTTCCTTGCCCGCACAAGCAGATCAGGGTGTGTAAATCGACCGGATATTATTGTTATTTAAGTATGCGCAGGTAAGATCGATCGTCCCCTACCGCGAATGCTCATCCCTTATTCTATCGATTAATGGAGGAAAAAAAAAAACCAGTCCATGATGTAAATCACTTTACGAAAGAAAAAATTTTTTTCTTTGCCCAAGCGCCGACCTACATACGTGCGTACGTACGTTTTTCCCAGTTCCATAGAGAAACATGTCTATCATTGTGTCTCACTTTGTGTGAATTTCCTTTTTGCCCAACTTGCATGAGTGCAAAAAAGAATTTTTTTCAACAGACGGTGTCAACAGAGTTTTTAAGCGGAAATCTAATCGAAGGATCGTCACACCGAGAACTACGAATGGATTATTTACTAAAAAACGTATGCATAGATGTAAAATCTAGTATCGTTATTGTTATCCATTAGCATTATTGTTAGCCGCATCATTGTTAGCCTCCAAGCATCATTGTTTCCTGCATCTTTACTCGTTTTCCTATCTTCTCTTTCCTTCTTTTCTTCTTTCAACGAAAAAACAGGTCAGTTTTAAGAAACTTCCACCGTCAAATTTGATCATTTTACAATAAGATAACATATTCTTCAATCGTTTTCCTGTTTTCGAACCTGTTTCTGTTGAAATGAATGGAAAAAATCCTGATCAGACAACACCCCTCTCTCACAATATTGTTCATACACAACCCAGATAATTC